CGGGGTGTGATAATATCATACATAAACTTCAATCTACAATGTTCCACTACTAATCCGTAGTTTGAGCCAAAATTGCCATCAAATTTTCCTAACAAGGTTAGTTTATGAATGAGATCACCATTGCATTCCTCGAATTTAGAACATTTTACAAAACCATGAAGAGAAAAAAAAAAGATGAGATCTCTTTATTGTTGGCAATGAAGTGAATAGAAGTGATGTATAATATGATAGAGAAAAATGGGTGTTTTGGGGTACTCAAGTTCATGAAAAACAGAAGGAAAGATTTAGAAATAAAGTAAAATTCAAGAAACAAAAAATCAGTGTTGTTGATGATAAATCAACAACATTATCAACTTGTACAATTTTCAATAAAATAAAATTAGAAAATTAAGGCGAGACAGCAAAAATTCTACATATTTCAATAATCCAATCAATAATGCACGTCAATAAACATAAGGTCCTGTTTATCATGATTAAGAATGAGCCCCCCCATTTCTTTATTATATTTAAACAAATTTAAATTAAAATAAATAAGGAAATTTAGTAACAAATGATGATATTCCTACAAAGACATCAAATCCAATATACTTCAACTTATTTTGTTGACCAATTCGCTCTTTGTGGTTGGGCTATGATAATGAAAACCAATCTGAACTAATTAGCTAATTGCACTCCATCATTTTCCCAAGAGAAAGAACTCTCCCTTCGAGACTAAAAATGGTGAAATCACTTGGACAAAGATAACATCTTAATTGCTTCAAAATTCTTACAGCCTCTAAGGCTAAAAGTGTACCGAATGCACTCACGGAATAGTTTGGAATCAATTTGATTAATACTCACTCAAGCTGGTAATTAAAGACTTGAGGGCTAAATGAACCAAGGTTAAACACAAACAAACTCATTTATTTATGTTAATGAACAAATTTATTGAGTGCTGGAGAAGTAATTTTTAAAAGGCTTTATATTAAACTTGATTTTGACTCATATTATTTAATTAAAATGTATTTAAATATAATTTATTTAATCAATTATTTTATAGCAATATATTACATTATTAAGAGCTTATGTTATTTTACCAATTCTCATCTCTTATTTATGCAATTATGCATTAGTTGTGGAACGATATTATTAGTTGTGTTTGTATTGTAAGATGAAACCCATATGTGATGGTTAAGATAATAATAGGTTTAGATGAAAATCTAATGTTTATTTTTTGGGTTGAATTTGTGATAATTTTCAGGCAATGCTTTGTTCCCATTGCCAGCTTGCACAATGTAAGAAAAATAAAAAGCATTACAAAAAGAATACATGAAAATAATGCTAATGATCATGAGTTGAGCATTCCTTCTTTACTTGAGTTGAGTTAGGTGGAAACCTGCCTTGGTACTCCAAAGGGCCATTTTGTTCATGTTGGATTCTTCTCTTTACTTTAAGGTCACTTTTGATGCGGGAATGACGATTGGGAAACCGCCTTTAGGCGTGGGTAGAGTCTGAAATCCGCATCAAGAGTCGTACTGGTTTAAGAAAATGCGTGGGTGTCATAGTTTCTTGCTTCGAAACACTTGACCCAATCGTTAATAAAAACAAAGACAAGTATTATTAGCTTGCTAAGCTTTGACCAGTGGGACAGAAAGAAGAATTTTTCTTCAAGAAACTTCTTTTTGGCTAAACTTCACTTTTGACGGTCAACATCGAGATTTTGACTCACCTAAATTCAACTTATAAATTGGGCTGAGAAAATGATTCGAATTCTATAAACGGTGGGATAAAGTTAAGAGCTTTTGTGTGTTAATCTTCACAAGCAAAATTGGAAAACAAGCATTATAGATTGAGACTTGAAAGATACTGCTTAACAACCACTAAGTAACAAGAATTCTAGAATATGTTTAATGTTGATAGAGACAACAAGACCACTTGAGAATGATTTGTTAGCAACTCCAAAAAGATGGGATATTGGGTAGAGAAAGGTGATTGTAATACCAATTAGAGAGTCTAATCAAGAAGAGGTTCAAATCTTAATTGATTTGATCCAAGAAGAACAATATTTTCACCTTCAACTGGCAGAAGAAAAAAGATTGAGCGAGAAGTGCTATTTTGAGAATTGACAATAACTCGTCAAACTAGAGATCGAGCTAAACAATATTCTTTTGGTGATCAATAGAAAAGATACGAAAAAAATTCTCAAGGAAAAGTGACGAGATCATGAGTGTCAAAATTAAAAGATAATAGCAAAAGTGTCCACCAAAATGAGAATGAAAATCAGATAATACTTAACTAGTCTAAATGTTTAAGCCATATTATGAGTAAAATATAAAATACACAGATGGAAGGTGAGAAATCCCATAAAATGATTGAGTGAGATCACGAGGAGTTCAACATTGACGATTGGGGAATAATGAAATTCAAAAGTCATCTTTGTCTATTAGGTGATTTGAGATCAAAACATAATTTTACATAAGGCACGGTAGTCTAGCTACGCTAGTTGTCTAAGCAGTACAAAAAAAAATGTCTGAACGTGAAAGCCATATTTTGGTGGCTTTAAATGAAAAGAGAGGTAGCTTAACTTTTCTTAAAACGATTTTGCATCAGACCTTACAAAAAGCAACCACCACCCAAAATGCACCCTTAAAAATTTTGATTAGTATTTTTTAAGAGTACTTTGCGTATGATAAAATATTTTATGCTCTTTAGCAAAAAACTATTTTGCACAAATTTATTGAGAATTTTTTTCTAAATATTAGTAGCTTTGTCGTTATGTTGAATGGCATGTCTTGTTATGATGTTATAAATTTTTCAGTGGATTGATATATTAAGCTCTATTTCATTGTGGTAGTGTGTGTGTCAGACAAATTAGATTATGACAAAGGAGCATCGGAGGAAAATATACAAAACTTATTTCAATAAAAGTAAAATTGCAACAAAAAGAAAATGATAATATTTAGTTCAAAAACATAAATTTTGTGAGATTGAATGGAAAATAATATATACTTTTCTTTATATCAATGTCATAGGATAAGTAGCATACAACAACAACAATAACAACAAAGCCTTAATCCCACTACGTGGGGTCGGCTACATGAATCCTTTTTCTCCATTGCGTCCTATTTAGTGTCATATTTTCATTTAGTTCTAGTAAATTAAGATCATTTTTAATACAATAAGCCCAAGTCTTCCTAGGTCTACCTCTGCCTTTCTTAACACAAGTCGAATTTAAAACATCTACTCTCCTAATCGGATCATCTAATGGTCGACGTTTAATATGACCAAACCATCTAAGACGACTTTCTCTAATTTTGTCTGTCACAGGAGCTACACCAACCCTATCACAAATATATTCATTCCGCATTTTGTCTCTAAGAGTAAAGCCACTCATCCACCTAATCATTCTCATCTCGGCAACACTTAACTTATTATTATGCTTCGCTTTTAAAGGCCAACCTTCAGCGCCATAGAGCATTGCAGGTCTCACCACCATCTTATAAAATTTTCCTTTCAGTCTTAGCGGTACTTTTCTATCACACAAAAGGCCCGAAGCATTCCTCCACTTCAACCAACCAACTTGAATTCTACTATTAACATCCCCATCTATATCACCATCGTTTTGGACAACGGACCCAAGATATCTAAATCGTTCACACCTTTTAATAATTTGATCACCCAAAGCCACACTTCTGTCATTAGAGTTATTACTACTAAAATTACATTCCATGTATTCAGTTTTAGTTCTACTTAAACGAAGGCCTTTAGACTCCAATGTAGACCTCCATAATTCAAGTTTTTCCTGGGCTTTTTCTCTCGTTTTATCCACGAGAAGAATATCATCAGCAAAAAGCATACACCAAGGTACATCCTCTTGTAGATGTCCAGTAAGACCATCCATAACTAAAGCAAAAAAGATATGGGCTTAAGGCCGATCCCTGATATAATCCAACAGAAATAGGAAAATATTTTGTCAATCCTCCTTCAGTTTGAACACAAGTAACAGCTCTAGTATACATATCTTTAATGACTTGAATATAAGTCATATCAACACATTTCTTCTCGAGAACTCTCCAAAGGATATCTCTTGGAACCTTATCGTAAGCTTTTTCTAAATCAATAAAAATCAAATGTAGATTCTCCTTATTATCTCTGAACTTCTATGTAGCATAACAGTGAAAAATACAATGATGCTATAATAAAAATAAATAAAAATATAGCAAACATTGAATCCTAAAGATATTAGGATTGAATATGAAGACATTGAGTTGTCGAATCCTGAGGCAATAAATTAGAAAGCAAAACAAAAATCGCTGGTAATCTTCATAATTTAAAGTCTAATGAATAATGAAATTCAGATACAATAGATCCTATTTACAAAGAAACTAATCCCTAGTTAATATTGTGGTTTCATGTTCCTTAATGCATTTCAAGCTAATTTAAAAATGAAAATCTGGCCATAAAAAATAGGATCATAAAGACAAAAATTGGTGGGTTCAGGTTATTCGTTGTTCATTGAGATTGTTCTATGACAAATTAAGTCTATTGGAACTAATTAGTTGATGGTGTGGTATCAAAATGGTATAACCACGGCAAGTTAATAGTGATAAAAAACAAAAAAAGTGAATGAAAAATTAAAACAAAAAAGTAAGGTAGGCCCTATAGAGCCAACTTCTAAAGGAGACAAATTGGGTAGCAATGAATTTCGTAGGAGTGAGAATGACATGCTCTTTCTAAAAGAAGACAGGTTCATCTCATACATCAATATGCATATAACTTCATACATACATGCATCTACTTCATAAACACAAATATAACCTGAATGAATCAAACTATGATTTCAAGAAAATAGTTGACATGTTTAAACTACTATTCTACACTATTTATTCACAAAAATCCAACATAAAAAATCATGAACAGCGATTCGTTATAAGTTTCTCGATAAAAGTGTTTGTTGGGAGATTCAGGACACAAAAAATTCTGCTAATATCTATTTCTAATGCACTTTTCAACGATCTTACCTTTATCACCACGTTGATAATCCTCCCATCTCAATTCCTCGTGGCTTTTATCTTTGTAAATAGGCATTGCAGATATTGATTCTAGCTTTCCAGCAGGTTGTGTACCGGTAGCATTAGGCTCATACGTTGCAGTGTAAGGTGCTATTCTACTGCCTCCAGCTTGACTCCCAAAAGTTGATTGTCCAAAACCAGGACTTCCAAATGTAGGTGTTGATGTCTGAGCACCTGAATAATATTAATCATACCAAGGCTCCGAGTGAGTATATACCGTTTAGTATAGAAAGAAAGAAAATGAACCTTGAAAATATGACAATTCAGCAAAAATAATTTATCACATTTCTATAATTGAAAAGGTCATAAAAAGAAAAAAAAACTGTCTACAAAACAATTTCAAATGGCTACAAATGACCAAAACTGCATCAAGCCCAATTGACTATAGAAATAAGCCAGTGAATACCAAACAAATGATATGTTAAGAAATCTTACCAAATGGAGAGCTTTGAGTTCCAAAAGGCGAGGGGGTTGAACCAAACGGTGAGATGCCAAATGCGGGTGTTGACTGGCCAAAAGATGACGGCGCAGAACCAAAACTGAAGGAAGATGCACTTGTTGAACCAAAAGCTGGAGAACTGGAAGAACCAAAAGCTGGAGTAGTTGATCCACCAAATGCCGGAGTACTTGCAGAGCCAAACAATGAAGTGCTTGGAGCGCCGAATGCTGGGGTGTTGGATGCCCCGAATGCCATTCCTGTATTACCAAATAATGGAGTTGATGTAGAACCAAATGCCGGCGCCGTGTTAGAACCAAAAGCTGGAGTGTTGGTAGCACCAAAAGCTGGGGTACTTGATGCACCAAACGCGGGAGTAGAAGCTGCACCAAATGCTGGTGAGCTTGTTGAACCAAATGCTGGGGTACTGGTTGCACCAAATGCAGGTTGACTTGAAGCACCGAATGGTGAAGAAGAACCAAACATGTTGCTTCCAAATGCTGGCTGTGTTTGTTGAAATGAGCCGCCAAATGGACTAGCCTGGCTGGAAGTAGACCCAAATCCTCCAAAAGCTGGTTTTTGCCCAAAAACAGAAGATCCTAATAAAAATGAGGAAGATAAATAGCAAAAAATTACCAAAAAATAAAAAATTGCATGTGAAACTTAGGCGTGATGCCTATAAGAGAGCACTGACCTCAAATGACAATAGATAAAAAGTTTTAAAGGGTGCGTTTGGTTGAATGTTATTTAGATTGTATTGTTATCCAGATAAAAGTGCTATTCAAATAGCAATACTATCTTTCAAATGTTGTGTGTTAGGTTTAAAATGTCGCCTTATTCAATAAATAAATTATTAATTAGAATAATTAAGAGTGATTAAAAATACTCCATTTTTAAGCGGGTAATATTGGAATAATTTGTATGGCATCTACTTTTGAGAAAATTATACTACCTGAATCTTAAAAAACTAAAGTTATCCAAATTAACTCAATGTGAAAGATAACATCAAATCAAACATCGCTTATCATAAATAACATAGTACTACATGAACAAAAAAAATACGCCAAGCAGCCCCTAGGTTGGCAAATTACAAGCAAATGTTCAAAAAAAGAAATAATATTGTTGTTATATTTACATTACTGCAGTATTTCAAAGATGAAACTGTGATAAGTATAACTTTTTGCAAGGAAATAAAAAGGCGTAGGTTGCAAAAAACAACTGAAACCGAAATGAAACTCTTTCTACATTCCACACAAAAGAGTCAAGACTACTTGCACTCCTTTTGTTAAAATTCAAATAACCATTGTAAACATATACTGCCTTTCTTGCTGCAATCCATAGTAGAAATGGTGCCTGCAGATTCTAGAACTGGCTTAAGATTTAACCTTTTCACAACAATAAAAAAAGGAGAAATAAAAATTCAAAGAAGGTTGTGAACATGTTACACATAATATATCATGATTTCATACTATCATGTGCATAAAAACAAAGAAAATGAAATGATTCCTACCAATTAATTCACTGAATTAAAAGTAAGTAAAATATAATGAACATAAAAATCTTGTTCATTACCATATCTTAAAATTCACTTTTTCAAAAGACAGGACTGACCATAATATAGCCTCAAAAAAAATTTATTTATTCCATTGACATGAACTATAGCTTTTAAAAAAAGCATAGATTGATAGCAGTCTGATGAAAAAAGGCATATCTAAAGTAAAGTAATAAAACAATAATAAGAAGTCCAGACATATATGACTGTTGTGAATTTTTGCACAAAATCTGAGGCAACGAATTTATACTTTAAGTATTGTCCATGACTGCTTCTTAAGCTTTAGTTTACTACTAAAAATTCAGTGGTCAAGTAGAATAAGATATCATATGTATGCTTAAAGGTGCATCGAATGTTTGCATATGTATGTGAGGCATTGCAGAGTATTGGGCTTACGAAATGTACAAATCATGATGTAATATTCACTGAATCATACCTATATTAAGAGATTCATGAAAGTATTGGGCTTACGAAATATATACTATTCAATCAAAAAACAACGATTAAAAAACATTTGAAAAAGGAAGATTTAGATACATATCACTCAATTCATAGGCATTCACATGTCTAGCACCTATACTTTAATTTTTACATGTATGCCAATTTACGCATAGATGAAAAGGTATATTTCACTATTTGAAAGATAAAATAGTCGCATTTTTATGTGATATAATGGATCTGGGAGTTATACATTTAAAAAGAAAAGTTTAGGAATTAGAAATGTAAATGCATGAGAAATGAGTGGTATGTATGTGCAAATGCCTCTTTCAAAAAATTACTCACCACCAAAAGAAGAATATGAGCTCCCAAATGCTGGGATAGATGAAGCCCCAAAAGAAGGCATTGAACTCCCAAATGCCGGTGAAGAAGATGCACCAAATGCAGGTGAAGAAGGCTGCCCAAAAACTCCAGTTGATACACCAAATGCTGAAAGCCCTGTCTGAGAACTAAAAGGATTTGGACTCCCAAATGGCTTTGGAGCAAAAGGGTTATTCGCGGCACTGTTTGTTTGCCCAAAGACTGAAGGAGAACCAAATGGGCTGCTAGAAGACTGCCCAAAGGCTAAACATCAACAAAAGAGGTGTCATTAGTGCATCTCTGAAGGCAAAAAAAAAAGCATAATTCACTAATATCCTTAAAAAAAACACATTATTAACAACAAAATCAAACCAATTGTGAATCATGAACATGAATAAACGAGGGAACAAGTATAAGCACATAGTTAGAACAAGAATTTCCAATATCAAAAGTGCAGTGGACGCAAACAAGCACTTAATTACAAGAAAAAGCTAAACCCAGCTTCTTCAAATTTCCACAATTCACAAAATCCATTAGCAGAATAAAAATCCATCCCCATCATCAGGACGTTAAAGAACTCACACCATATATATATATATATATATATATATATACAAAAAAGATCAAAACGAAACCCACAGCATCAGGATGATCAGACAGCAAAAGAACCCATCAAAAATCAAAAAGCATAAAATCTCAAACAAAAAAAAACGCTAATTCTTCTCAAGCCATTACAAACTTCAATCACGCCCCTCAAAACATTATAAAAAAAAAAAGACCTATTAGCATGAAACCAAAACAGCAAATGCAAGGAGAATCGAAAGATCAACATACGATTGGTGGAGCCAAACATGTTTGCAGATTCCTCCTTCCACGTTGAGAGACAACGTATCCGAAAATCCGAGACAGAAGCAAGGCGAGAGAATATGAGTACGAATAAGCGTCCGGTACTCCACTGCTTCAAAACAACGCTGCATAAAATAAATTGCTTAAATTAAAAAAAAAACTCCAAACGCGTAATTGAACGATCTAAAACACCGAGCGGCTTTATCACACTTGCGTAATTGGAAGTCGGAGAGAACGTCGGATCGAGAGGCGAACAGAACACCGGCGCTAGCCGGAGAATCGTAGGCCCTTCGACGAAGAGATAGAAATAACAGAAAAATGCTTCCAATGCGGCAACCCTCCGGGTTTTTTCTTTTACTTACCCCGATAAATACATATATTAAAAAAAAATTAATAATGTATGACAACAAATATTGTTATTTACAAATCAGGCATCCAAAAGTGGCTGACAATGACATCATGACATTCGATTGATGTGCACAAAGGCTGACCCTCAATGCTCGAGCAATAAGAACTTATCCCTAAAACTCGTCCCAGCGAAGATAACAACTCAGTTGAACACTTATTATAAAACTTGAGTTGAGTAAAGTAAATATCAAAATTAACTAAATTACTGGAGAACAATGTGACATATCATAATAACACAGGTAAAAGTTGATTGAAGATCATATTTCATTTATATAAGTATTTAGTTACATATCTTTTCTTTATGAACAAAACCTTTTCTATACAATGATTCGATTACATATAAAAGATTTTTTTTTTCAATCTAGGAATCTTTAGGTTGGTCGTTAGACAATCCATCATTTAGTACATTATCACCCTCAAATTTCTCTACGTGAGCTGCTATTGTAGGAGCGGTGAAAAGTTTTTTGAACTCATCTAGATCAATATATTTCGAGTTGGCCGTTCCTACTCTGGCAATTTGGTTGATGTCTACTTAGTGCCTATCTTCAAATGTGCGACTTGAGTAACTAAAAGAAAAGTCTCCTTGTTTATCTTCAATATTTGTTACTACATTATTAGGGTAAAGCCGAAGTCTGGGCTGATGAAGACCTTTGCCAACTTCGTTTGCAGCAAACTTCAGTAACTCTTACATCCCTTGTTTTTTTATTAGAGGTAAATGGTGGGAGATTTCAGAATATTTTGTCGGAGCCTTACCCATTCTCCAATTCACTACTTCAAAGAAGGCAAGCCCACACTCTGGAGCAGACTTTGGCTCAACCTCCTTTTCTTCGGTCTAGCTTTCCTCCAAGTTCTCCGCTTTAAATTGCTCCGCTGATTTAATTGGTGATCGAGGAGAAAGCCTATTTTCCTCCCCTCTTTCAAATAGAGAGAAGAAGCCTGACGAAGATAGCTAAGGATCTCCCTGTGTCGACAATCGCTCTAATGACCCCTCATCATTTTATCTAACAATGCTCGAAGTATGCTCCTCGTCTTGGTGGTGCTCCCTCAATTTCCTTAAGTTCATTAAAGTCAGTTTCATTTGATCAAGATTAATTCTCCGGTTACAATATTTTAAATAACTATTATTGTTTCAAAAATAGAGTAAAGCAATTCTGAACCTACAACAGTACCGACCACCTGGTCGTCCTCTCCCGACCTTTTCCCTTCTGGCTTTGGAAGTGACACCCTTCCTTTTCCTCAACTCTTTCTAAGAAAGCCTAGAAATCTTATTAATCTGCCTCTTCTCCTCCACCACATCCAAATTAGTAGCCAATAACTCAAAAGTCATGGCATCGAACCGTGTAGGGTTCAACATCAGGTTCACTATCACGGGGCCAATACTGAATAAGTAACAAGTGTTTGACTACGATAGTCGACACATGTCCCAAGACCCATTTTAGGACTCCCTTCCTCTTCTTACACGCCTTCTGATCAATCATGTAGTGATCCCTCAGTCTTTACAGATACCATAGAGGAACTGAAACTTTCTATCTTTAATTTTGTTCCCTAATTTGATCGGGTGGAACTTTCTAATTGATCAAAAGATGTAATCATTGAGCTCCAATCTAAAATATAACATGTACAGAAATAGTTTCTAGGACCGAAAGATCTCCATCCGCCGCAAGTAGATCATGAAAGTCATCACAACCATAACTGAATTTGGCTTAATTTGTGTGGGATGACTCTGTAATGGTACAATGTAAGGGCATACCTATCACTTGTTGTTACCGAATTATAAAGTTCGGAGGGGGGGGGGATACTTAGAAACCATGTGATTGCTTGAAGTAAACCGACCTGAAGGAGAGATAGGAACCAACTGAAGGGGAGGAAAAGAGAGATTTGAAAAGCGCAAACACCGTTTTTCCCTTGGCCTTTATATACAGGGTACTCAGAGATTTTGAAACATTGCAAATTCGTACCTTGGTCTCCAATAATTCACGTCAAATCAACGTGAAATTAAAGAAAATGAAATGACACGAGATTTTGAACTTTGGCAAAAAATTAACATTTTATTTATTCCAAACAATAAATATTTTATATGAGGGTCTTAAGATGCCTCAAAAAATACAAGACCACGACTCACTAGACTCTGATACATGGCTTGCCCCCAAACCTAGACCTCTCAATACTTTCTTCCTCTCGCTGAACCGGTCAATCAAACAAATCACCTGAACCTCTATTAGCTCTATTCAAAGAGTCTCCATGTACACTCATAAAGCGGTCAAGTCAACCACATGTTTTAGGCAAAGAGCTATCGACTATTTCTTTAAGTGCATTATGATAACCTCCCTCAACAGGCCAGCTTCCCTGGTGAAAGAGTCTACCGTTTTATCCATTTGACGAGCCAACAATGCTAGAGATCCTCAATGACTGTCGATACCCCTCTCTACATCTCAAGGCCAAACAAACGACCTGATGAACTTCCTTCATAGGGCAGAGTTGGTTGTCCCTCGACCATTTCTAGAATCGAGAAATGGCTAGCTCCCATTGACAAATCATTGATTTTCTTGGTCTCATCTACAAGAATAATCAAATTTCATAAAAAAATAACATATATACTCCATCAAAGAAAATCAGGTTTTTTCATACCTAGGATTCACTCAACTTGAGTTGAATGAAGGCTCTCAACAAGAAGCAGCTGAACAACCATCTGACAAGTCTCACCAACTGAAGGAAGGGAGTTGTACCCCCATGTGGCTAGACTTGGGTCTCTATGAAAAACTGGATTGGTTGTTGAGTCGGTCATTCACAGATTGGTGCAAGGGCAAGGACTGCACCCCAGTGTGGTGCACGTCCTCCGTGCTCCTCATCTCACAATGGAGTGGCATCGAGTCGGATGACTCAGTCGTTTCCTCTAGTCCCTTCACCCTTTGTTTCTTATGGACCGCCTATTTGATCCGGTCAGCTCCCTTCTTCTGGTATCTTTTTACCAACTGGCCAACCTTCTTTCTCAGTCCTTTTTGTTATTACAGGTTGGCCCTCATCCTCTAGTTTCTTTTTTACGACAAACTGGCTACTCTCTTATTTCCTTTTCTCCCTTGCATAATTGGGAGGGCATAATATTCTAGTCAAAATTCTAAAGTCCTTTATCATGGTCGCTTTATTTACTGACATAGTAGGAGACTTCTTGCTACTTGCAATAATTATTTCTCCTGTTAACAACCGATGGAAGGACAAGAAACTAAGAAAAATGTGTTCGAGAAGTGCTGATCTTGCCCGATTTATAAGGACTGTGAGCACAAAAATTTAGGAAGTTCAATTATTAAAAGTATTTATTATGAAATAAATAAGTTAATTTTTACATTTAATTCACTTATTTTTATCGTAACTGTCACTTTTAAGAAGTAAGAGAATTAGTGAACTAAATATGTATATTGAAAATATGATTGCGCAAATCTTGAGAAAATCCAATGGGTCTCACTTGTGAACACCAAAGGACGGTGCATTGGAATAGTTAAGAGATGAAAAACCAAGGGTCATTTTCTTCAGTTGGAACTCCAAACCGACCAAACAAAAGCACAACTAAAATGAAGAAATATAAAGAACCCAACCCCAGGGACGATCATTCATGACCAGCTCCCTTAAACAATTCTGAAACTCCTCATAAAGATGGCCAAATGACACCCCACAGAAGACTTTTTTATCCTTTGAGAAGGCCCCTTGTCCAAGGAGGGTTGCCTATCAGATTATAACGATACAACCTCTGTCTGACAGTTGAAGTTTACCCTAACGACAGAAGAGCTTCTACTTAGAATTACCTTGAGAAGGTCAAGCAAATAATTGACGATCGACCAAAAGCTTTCAACCGACTGAACGATAAGATTACTAGGTCATCAAATGTCCCTCATCGAGTAGTTGTGAATATGAAACGATGTTAATATCAATTATGAATATGATAGGGTGCCAAAATTAGTTATAAATATGAAAATATGTCATAAAAACTTGTAACATTCTTATTAAAATGGGGACAAACATGTAATTTTACACTAGATACCCCTGAAATATATAAATAGGAAGTCATTTCTATAATAAAGGACTCCTAAAACTCTAACAAAACTCTTGAATTAAGATGCACTCTTCTCTCGTCCTTTCTATGCTCTATATCTTAGGTGTCATTCATAGTATATATCTGAATTTAACACATACATATTACTTATTTTTTTATTAAAAAAATATTTAACTTTTAAAATTAAAATAGTGATACTTTTTATGTGATATGAAAGATTTGAATGGCATAAACTTAAAAAGAATGTTGAAGGCCTTAAATATGCAAATACATAAAAGTAAGGGTATGTAATAAAATGCCCCTTTATAATAATAACAACGTGATCACAGAACTTCAAATTTTTATTCGGTACGTGCAATGTATGGAAGCTTGCAAACGATAGTCAATTAGAACCTGCCACGTGGAATCCGGCCCCACTACTATTATTTAGGTTAAAAATTCTATTATTTGACGCCCGACCCTCCTTTTTCTGGAAAATTGAATGCATAAGGCCCTTTCCCGGTTTTCCCCCACTTTACTTTTGCACTTTAGGGTTTGGAGCTGTCGAAATGGATTGTTCTATTGACGAAGACAACGACAACAACTTCCAAATCCAAGTGAGTTTAGCTTCGTTCAGAACGACAACAATTTCCAGATCCAAGTGAGTTTAGCTTCGTGGAGAATATTTTTATTTTAAAGACATTGTTGTAGTTTGGGTTCTAGAGTTTGTGCGAGTTTTATCTTTTGATTTTATGGATACTTCTGACATTTGTCTAGGTTTATGGAGGTTTCATTAGTTGATTTAATAGTGTTACTTTAGTTTTTTATCGGAGGTATAGTTCTGACATTTGTCTCATTACTTGTGTTTAACAATTTGTTTCTCTGGGTTTATCAGAGTTTGACTTTAGTAGTTT